TGTAGGCACTAGGTCGACGCTCTCTTTTCTCTCTTGTTGTACAGTTTAGCACCCACGCCTGTTGTAAATTTTTATCTCTTGGCCACAATCCAGGCCAGGAAGTTGTCGTTACTATGATGACAACCCTAAAACCCAGTCAGACAGCAATAAAGTTGTAAGTGGAGAAGAATGTGTGTGTGTGTGTGTGTGAGACTCATGTGACAGCAGTCTAGTGAGACCACCAACTACCTACATGTGCACATGGGTAATTTGGTAGAAGCAGGTAACGTAGGAGCATTTTCCTTGGAGATGTCGCCATCATTAACTACTTTTTTTTTTTCCTCTTTCTTTGTATTGTATATAAAATGAAGCTGGAAGGTTTGGCATTCTAAGCACACAAAGTAAAGGCTTAGTGTTTTAGTGTTTCAACAAAAGATTTTCAATATGAAAGCAAGAGAAACACATTTTTTTTTCATGGTTTTTAAAATGTCATTGTTGGAAAGGAAGATGCTTAATTTCCTTTTAGTGATAAACACTGTGAAGGAAGGAAGTGAAAGATTGTGAATTGATTGAAAGTACAACTTCGTATGAGCTTTTAGGCATGCTTTTCATGCCAAAAGATGTGAACAACAGTGTTGTGAAAATGCAGTTTTCATGCTAATGTCCATTAGTAATCCAGCATAGTAGGCACGTCTGTGAGATTGTTCGCTCTCCTCTTTCCCTCTCTCTTTCCTTTTTGGATCCTTCTTCAGCCTATCTCCATTGCTGCTCTTTTCTCACACACTTTTCTTGACTATCTCCACCCCCTACCTTCCCATGCTCTCTCATTTTCTGCCCTCATTTCTCTGAGCAATCGTCCCGGGGGAAGCAGAGCTCTGAGGGAAAGAGAGGAGAGGATGTAGGAGAGAAAATGGCAATGACATTTTGTAGGGCAGGCATTTGCTAAGAGGTGGGAAGGGAAAGGAAAACGAATAGAAGAACAGAGGCAGAAAAAGTAAAAGAAAGTGCAAACAGAGGGTAAACAGGACGTCAGAAGAAGGAAGAGAGTTGCAGGGGGGAAAGAAGGCAACAGAAACAACAGTAGGTAAGGTCATTAGTTCGTCAGTTAATTCAGCCATTCAGTCAACCGTTCATCTGTAAAATAGCTGTAACAAGCTGAGTGAGGATTTTTATTATTGGCAGACTGCTTTGATGGTCTTGTGAAGATCAATTAGTTGAAGGAAGGTCACATTAAAGAGATGAGGCTGAATAAAATCAGAAAAGCATATTTCTCTCAAGTGTGCAGCTGGCAGTGCTGTGTCTGAGTTTGTGTTTACAATGAATCTGCAGGCTATTTGTGCCTTTTTAGACATCTGGGTTATTTGAACGCTACTAATTGGCTGTGAAATAGGATGAAATGTACCACAGCACCCAAGCATTTCAGTACATGCCGCTAGACATATTCTGCATGAAAATGTCCTTGATGAAGCAACAAAACACATCTTCTGATGATTGCTTATACAGGAGTTTATGACTCAGAGTGTTTAACCCATATTTGACCCCATTTATAAGAAACTTGGTCACAGTTTCCTGCCATAAACTGTCAAGTGCGTATATATGTCTGTGTATGTGAAGCGAGATTATAATGTCACTGGTGTTTTTATATGGACTGTGGGAAGAGGAGAGAAACAGGAGGAGTATAGAGGGAGATAATACGAGTGGGTGATTGGGGGGGGGGGATTGAAAGGGGCCCCAGGAAGAGAGGAGAGAGATGAGTGCAGAGATTTAGTGAAAAAGAGAAAGAGGCACCCTGGACTGGAGAGCAGAAGAGAGAGTTGTGAAGAGGGTGAGTTAGATAGTTGTGAGAGAGGTAGAACAAGGTTGCTGGTGTTAAACAGTTGCGGATAAGGAGGGCAAGTTTAAAGCAGGCCTAAGTGGCCGTGACGAAGCTCCACTCTAATGCCAGCTCACACAAACGCACACTTAGAGCTGGCCCATTGAGAAACAATGTTTCAAAGGAGTATGGACTGCAGTTGGTCTGTAGTAACAGAGCTGTTGTGATGACTGACATAGTGGAAAAAATAGATCTGTTGCCTCTCAAAATTGGTTTAAAGTCTCTTCGTGTCTGTGTGGTACAGAGTTATTTGATTGTTTGGTTTGCATTGTACGCTGGTCGTATTTTTTTTTTTCTTTTCTGCCGTCATAGTTTAGTCTAGTGAGACTGACCGTGTTATTTTAAATGACGACCGACTTTAAAATAGACTTTTCCAGTAGATGCTACTCGTTGCATCTGAAACTACATCCAAATAAATGTTATAAGTAATACTTAATGTTATAACTCAATGCGAGTCTTAGAATCCAGGTCTTGTCACTTTAGTCGTCTTAGGAAAAAGCCCAGGCAGTTATTTTAGATTGACAATTTGCTGAATCTCCGGCTCCCTCATATCCCAAAATTGCTCTGCTGGAATAATATCTGGTGACTGTGGAGGCCATGTGAGTACAGAGAACTCAATGTCATGTTCATGAAACCAGTGTGAAATTGGTGATGATAGCAATTATTATTATTAGTGAGATTGTTGGTTTGTGTGGAGCTATTATCCTGGTTGCTAGGTTTAAAAATGGTGGTTGAGGTTTTTTTTTGTGTAGGAGCGTCTTTCGTGACTCATCAAGTAATCCCACTGATGGGCCAGTTGGTGGCTCAGATCACATGGTGCTCCGGTGGAGTAGGTACTAAAAAGCAGCTGGTACCAGGAATTTCCATCTAATGGAAAATCTAAAAGTCAAGTCAAACCACGTAGGTGCTTGTAAAATATTCCCCACAACACTATATCATCACTGCCAGCCTGAACCGACGCAAACATGGGATGGATCCATGCTTTCATGTTGTTTACACCAGTTTCTGACCCTACAACTCAAATAGTGCAGTAGAGATGGAGACTCAACAGACAGGCAACATTATTCCAATCTTATGTGTTGTCCAATTTTGGTGAGCCCATGTGAATTGTAGTGCAAATTTCCTGTTATTCCTTGACAGGAGTCGCACCTGGTGTGCTCTTCTGCTGCTGTATCCCATCTGCTTCGAAGTTCGATGTGTTGTGTATTCAGACATGCTCGTCTGCATACCCCGGTGGTAATTTAAGTGGTAATTTGAGTTACCGTTGCCTTCCTATCAGCTTGAAGCAGATGTAACATTCTCCTCTGACCTCTGATATCAACTTGACCTTTTCACCTACAATGCCAACCGCCCCCCCCTTCTTTTTTTAAATCTATGACCATTCTCTGTAAACCATAGAAATAGTTGTGTGAGAAAGTCCCAGTAGATTAGCAGTTTGTGAAATATTTAAACCACTTCAATCAATGTTCTTACCCATTCTGATGCTCCTGATGCTCACCTTGAACTTCAGCAGATTGTGTCTGTATGCCTAAATTTACTGCCATGTGAGTAGCTGATTAGAAATTTGTGTTTATCAGCACTTAGACTGACTTATCTTATTGTGTACTACTTAAAGTTTGAGGTTTTTTTTTTTTTAAAATAAAACAAATAGTCAAAATTTAGTAAGTTATCTGTCTAAAAAATAAAACAGCTTTGTGAGAGGATTGGAAGAAAACATCAGAGCATAACTTGTTCATTAGGTCATCTGTGTATTATTTTTGTGTAAAATCCATCTTATAAATGTACTTCACCACTGGAGAAGTCAAACACATGGATGTGGAGATTATCAACAAATGATAATATAAAAAAAATCACTTTGTTGTGTAATGTCAGCATTTTAAAAGAACATTTTTTTAAAATCTTTTGTTCACCTGTCTGCACAGGAACATAGAGTCTATATCCTTTCTGACGTTTGCATGCTACACATACACCTCCTTCTCCCTTCCCTACCTCATTAGCCGATCATGCGTAAGGAGACCTGTTCTATTTTTACTCCCGCCCCCTCCCTACACACCACTGGTGCTGGGTGGGTGGGTGGGTGTGCGCGTGTGCACGTCCTCTCTTATTGAAGGTGGCAGGGCAGAAAAAAGAAAGACGGAGAGTGGGTAAGATGGTCACAAAATAAAATGCAGACGAATGAATAATAGAATCATAGGAATGAGGCCAGGAAAGCCTAGTCTGGGTGATGGAGAAAATAGGCTGGGAAAGATTCAAACAACTGAAAGCACAGTGAACGATGATGACTTCGTAGTGCTTGATTTATGGTTAGCTTTTAGCCTGAAGCTCCTAGATTAAAGGAGGCGGTGTGTGCAGCCAGGTAGGCACCCTGTGTGGATGGATTTCCACATTCCTGACCTTAACATGTCCTCACTGTTTGTGTCATCGCCACATAGTGTTATTAACAAAATTTGGGTCACCACAAATGAAAGTGTCTGTTTTGTGATAGGGTGTGTGTGGACAGTCTGCCAAAGATATTTGGGTTGACGAGTGTGTGTGCTGACCACAGCTGCAGGGTAAAACCAGTGATTCACATTACAAGGGATTGAGAAATTCGTCCTCTTTCTCTTTCTGTGTGTGTGTGCGTGTGTTTGTGTGATTGTTTGTATCCAGCTGTTGACCCAGATGAAACTTATTGTGTTGCATAATGACTTCCCAAACTTTCGTGTTTTTCTTTACTTGTGTAAAAACACAGTTGATGTCATTCATTAGCAGCTGTGAGCCAAAATCGGCTAACTTATACGAGCCTTTTTATTTCTTATGACATGTTTACAGACATAAGAGCTTTCTATTTTGTTTTATAGTCTGTTTTACCTCCAGTGTAGAAGAAGCACTGATCCCTCTCAAAGGAAAAAGAAACACAGAACCATGTGGCTCATTTATAAATGACGAAAATGTTGCATGCCATGAAAAATTTATATTCTTGCCCAAATAAGTGGTTGAATTAGGTCAGGTTATTCAGAATTTTTCAGTAATGTACAAAATTTGTATAATGCAAGGCGTAACCAATAAGCTAAAACTAAAGATCTATTTATTGTGTAAGTATCTGTTTAATGTGTTGCTTTTAAATTTTTAAGTCGACGCTCTTTCATCGCTGTCACTTTTGCTGCAGGTTGATTTGTCACCATGACAACAGAAGCGGGCTCTGAGACGGAGGTGAAGGAGAAAGCTGAGGAGTCAGCCGCTGAGCCCGACCAATCGGAGAAGGCCACGGAAGATTCCCAGGAAGTAGCAAACGCTGAAGTAGAGGAGAAGGAAAGAGCAAAGGTGAAGGAAAAAGAGGGGAAGGAAGGCAAAGGAATATCTCGATACCTGCCAACATGGCTTAAGAAGCAGAAGTCTCAAAGCCAGGTGAAACTGTGTTCACACTGTTGTTATGTTATATTGTCACAACTCTGTAGGGAATTTTACTTAAATTATTTAGCAACAATCGTTTTTCAGGCCCATTTTAACTGCTGGTGCATTAATGAACTTTTATGTTAGATTTTAATTTTATTTGGATTTATTTGGGTTTTTTGCTAAGACCTCCCCAACGAAGGAGGACTCCCCTACAGAGGAACCTGTTAGCGAGGTGACACAGGAAGAGGAAGGGCCTGCCCCAGAAGTGAACGGTCACGCTGAGGAAGTAGAGGAGAAGGAGGAAGTCAAGTCTGAGCAAGTGAAGGAAAAAGAAGCAGAAACTCATTCCAACGCCAGTGCAGACACTGAGGTACTGCTCACGGGTTCACTACACCACTCCATAGCATATGCTTTAAAGTAGAGTCAGAAAACAAGATGTCTAGTACTGTCAGGTTATAATGAGGATTTCAGAAAAAGAAATATAAACATCCCTTAAAAAAATGGTTAAGCTTATTTTTTAATTTTTTTAAACTATGCCTGCTTCATCCAAAATCTCTTTCTGTCAGATGAAAAACTCAATAACACTCGGATATCTATGTAGCATGCAAACTGAAGAAAAGATAAAAACAAAATCCTTGATTATGTCCAAAGGAACATAATCTGTCTGTCACCACTTCTACATCTGACTAATACGTGTTTTCTGCCAAGTCAGTAATGGTTTCAACACAGTTCCACTAGAGGTGGAAATCACCAGACCGGCCATGATACAATATTATCACAGCACTTCACTCGTGATATGACATTATTGTGATTTTTAACATTTTGATATATGGTTGATAGAGAGGTAGCTTTGTCAGGCCAAGTTTCCCCAGTGTCGGATGGTTTTTCAGTTGGACCGATTTAATGTCAGTTTGCTCGACTAATGTTATCTCAGGATGGTGATGCATGAGCTGAGATGAGTATTCCCAGAGTTTTTTAGTTTATTTAACAAAATATTGATATTTGTTATTCCTGTATCAGTATTCTGTATGGATTTTTTCCACTAAAAAAACAGTGGTGCTAAAAATCTGGTATGAGCTCTACGTTCTTTACAGCTCTACATCAGCTCATTGGCACAGTGTCAGTGGAAATAAAGTTTAGGTAACATATTATATTCAGACTTTTAGTATCAACCTTGTTTTATGTCAGAGAAGGAGACCTATGAAATGGGAGTAAAAGTATCATGCAGCAGTTGCATCGCTAATAACAGAATACATGTCTGTACCAGGGAATTGTGTGTACTTTACCTGATGGGCTGAGTGAATGGCTTTACATTTCAGTCTCCTTATGCCTGTGGTAAATAAATTAAAAATCAGTATAGTCATTTACAAACCCTCATGGAAACACTAGACAGACTACAAGGCCAGTGTCAGTATTATTGTACCCTGTAACATATTCTTTAGTGGTCAGAGTGATTAAAGTTCCCCAACAGCATTCTGCTTTTGTTAACCAGCCACATATTGTGGTAAACACAGATGGTAAGAAACCCAACAACGAGATGTCATATTTTCTACAATGTTCAGACAGTGTTGATGTGTATTGACAGTTTACAGCAAACTGCATAAAAATGCTGTTAAATTACCAGAGCAACAAAGAAACACTTGAGCACACACACACACACACACACACACACACACAGAAACTCCTTTCTCCCTTGTGCACATGCACACACGGACTCTTGCATCCACTGATCACATTAAGCCACCCAGGCCCACCCAGTGACATCAACATTTCAGTGATCAAGCCAAAAGAAACGCCTGCCTTTTCTATGAGCAAATTCAGACTAGAGGGGGAATTACACACGGAAAGAAAACAGTTTGGTCTCAACAAGTAATGAAGATATTTTTATGTTTTTAAGAAGATTGCAAGTTTATTTATTTATTTCTTGCAAACCCCGTTAGCCTGCCAAGGAAGAGAAGGTGGAAGAGAGTGCCGAGAAAAGTCCAGAAGAGACCAAGGAGACAACAGAGGGAGAAGGAGCCGAGGAGGAGACGAAGGAGAAGGAGGGAGCAGTGGAGGCTGAAGGGGAGGCAGGAGAAGGCCAGACCTCCATTTTCCAGTCTCCTCTTCGTCTGGTGAGAAAGAACAAGATGAAGTTGGTGGTGTGTCACGTGACCCTGCTGGATGGGACTGACTTCACCTGCGAGGTGGAGGTAAGACTGATAAAATTCATAGACCAATACAACCACAGTGTAAACTGGAGTGTAACCATGTGAGATCAAGATAGTGTGTTATGGCTCCAAATATAGTGTTTCCACTTTAATATTCTAAACGTTTGCCTGTCATGGTACAAGAGTTCTCACACATTTCTATATCTATCAGCAGTTTCTTGCTTGAATACTTCCTTTGAATACTGTCCTTCGAAATGTAGTTTGTTTCTGTGATGTAAGGAGGTTCCTCCAGTTGTTGACAGAGCAGGTCGACACATTGTCCATCTCATGTTCTTATGCGCGTCACGTGAGTGCCAGTTTGTCAATGATGTAATCGCTAATAGGATGTAAGATCTAGTGTGTGTGCACGTCTGTGTGTGCCTGGGCATTTGAGTATTTAACTTCCTTACTCAGTGTGCAGTAATGGCAGAAGCACCAGCTCATATTGTTCAGGGTGTAGTTCAGAGGGATAAATGCATCACAAAGCAGAGCGAGCTGCAGGGGCTTGCCTGGGGACTAAAACACATGCACGTACGCACACACTCCCACCAGATTATGGGGTCTCGCAGATTAGTTTTCGGCATCTGTTCCTCCCTAACAAGCACGTGTCTTAGACCCCCTAAACGCACAGTTGGACATATTCATTACAGATACATCACACGTGCATCAGTCTTATAGTGTTTCTGTTGGGTAAGAGAGGAGTTTTTTTGTATTTTGCTAGTTTTTAATACTAAAAATGACGGTTAATAACATGTTCACCCAAAGGCATGCACATTTTTTTAGCCGCTCCTCTCCTCACATTCACACACTCTCTCACATTCAGCGGGAGGCTGCTCAGAATAGCCACTGTGCAGAACCACTGGAGCTGTTAACGCTTAAATCTTTGGTTCAACGACCCCTGAACAGAGCGCTGACCATTTCCCTTGCCAACATTTTCCCATTTGGCTTGAGGGCTTTTGTCGGTAGCCTCCGTGTGGCAAACCTGCATCCTAATCTACAGTATGGCAACGCCCAGCAGCGTGCCAGTGAGAGAGTGCGCTTGTTTGAATAGAAGCTGCTTTGTTTCACAAGAGATAACGCTGATATGGCAACTAACTGCTATTGTCCTATAATGCACGCGCATACGCACTCACACAAATATCCATCCATGCCTCCCTCTACATGCTGGATCGTGAGAGGGAGAGATGCACAATGCATTCCAGAGATTAAATTTTCTGTTTTGCCCAGCAGGCCTCCAACACACACAGACACACACACACACACACACACACAGTCCCTGTCCATTCTTCCATCATCCATCTGTCCTATTTATTAACCCCTGGCATCAAATTTATCCCTGAGTAATAACTTAATGCATATTTTATTAGTTGTAGACCACTGAATAAAAACTCTAGCCAGACATTTTCTGACTTTGTTGAGGGTTTCAAAGGGGGAGTCTTAGTGTCACATGGCCTTAATGCCGATTCTAAGAATTTTACTTAATGTTGGTTTCAGCAGGATTTTAGCATCACGTGGTTTGTAGTGTTTCATAGCATTTCATTAGGTACAGATGTTTCAGTTTTTATCACTGAGTTAGAAATATGATTGAGCAGCAAGAAACAAACAGGTAATTCATCTTCTTTTAAATGACTGTGGCTCTAATCCCATTTACATAAACTAAATACATAATCTATACGACTGCCTGTTGATATTCCAGTTGACCTCAGCCAGTGCCTTGCTCGAAGGCACTCTGGTGTAGACTCAGGAACTCTAAAAGGCCACGTTCTCAGATTTGCGTGTGCGTTGCGCATGTGTTTGACGGAGTCTAGGAAAATACCGCAGATGTTTTCAGCCGTCCCAGAACAAGAAGAAAAATGCACTCTTTCATCCCCTTCCTTTCACTCTCACCACGCTCCCTGCCCAGTCTATACGTCTCTCTGCCGAATAGCACTCAGTCTGTGCACCAGTGTTACACTGAGGCTGACTAACTGAAAAGAAACAAGCGTTATTTGATTATTTCATTCTTTCCCATCATTTTTCCCCAGCTGTCCACCCTCTTTCTGTCTGACCTTTTGTCTGCTTAAAGGTTGTGTGTGTGTGTGTGTGTGTGCGTGCGTGCACGCACGCTTGCGCATGCAAGCATGGATGTGTGCTAAATGTCATTGTCATAGCTGAGTCTGGAGGATTTTATCGCTAACAGTTTTTTTGGACTTTTAAAGGAATGTGTGGTCCAGATGGCGAGACTGAGAGAGAGCGTGTAAACCAATAATGAAACAGAAGAAAATGAAACACAAGGAAAAGAGACTCTGAGAGTGAGAGAGCTGTGGACAGGAATTTTACAAGTGTCTCATTTTGCCATAGTGAAAAGGTTATGAACTTAATCAGGGGTCCCGTGTGGTTCCAGGAATATTTCATAAGCTTAAAGCTTGATGTTTGGAACATTTTGGGGAAGAAGCTGGAAATATTAGAGTGGTTTATAATATTGTTTTAATAGCAGCAGTTATAATAATAAAATAAATATAATGTTTTGTTTCTTTGCAGAAACGTGCCAAGGGTCAGTACTTATTCTTTAAGGTGTGTGAGCACCTTAATCTACTGGAAAAAGACTACTTTGGCCTGACATACAAGGATAACCATGACCAGAAGGTTTGTATCCATAGACACACATACTCAGGGTGTAACAAATAAGTTAATAATGTCCTCATGAAGAAACCGCAGACATGGATGCTTTGATATTTTGTAGTATATATGGCAGAAGGTAACAGTCTTCTTTTCTCTTTCCCCTTGTTCCCTTCTCATTCTAGTGTTGGTTGGACCCCACTAAAGAAATTAAAAGACAGATACGCAGTAAGTAAAACTTTTTTTTTTCAGGACGCTGACATAAAGACACGCAAGTCCGTCCGTCCGTCCGTGCATCTCTTTCGCTCTGCCTTAATGACACAAGATGGCTTTGGTTGTTAGAAAAAAAAAAAGCATCTTTGTTATCATGTCAGCCAAAAGGCAATGAATAAAATATTGAGCTAGTGAAATGGGACAAGTGTCCACATATCAAAAGAAAAACAAACTGCATCACAATTAAGTCAAACAAAGGCACCATAGATATTTGAGACCAAACAGCAGCAGTCTGGCACCCTGGCAGAGGTTACCAGGGTGTGATCGCTCTACTTTATTATTTATTGACCTCTTTATTGACTGTTGTTCGTTTATCAAAGGGGGCTGAGGTGTTGGATCTCATCTTTTGTTGACTGACAGCCATTAAGGGTGTGGTACGGAGCAGCGAAGGGTATAACGCTTTGTTTTATAACTGCATGCATGCAGTATGTCTGTGATAGTGGACAATATGCCCTATTTGTGACAGCGTCTATAGTTTAATGAGAAGCTTAACGACAAACTGGAGATCAGCTCATCAAGTCACAGCTACTGTAGTTTGTCATTGCATTTTTTTTCAGTTAAAAGAACTTTCATTTGGTGTTATTTCCTTGTTAGTTAATTTTTTAGATACAGTTTTGTACTTGCATTTCTCTATCATATCCACCTAAATCTAACATTTAAAGTTGACATTGATTTGTAATTGGTTTTACTGGGGTGGTGGACAACGAAGTAATGCCAGGTCAACATTTTTCTTGGTCATTCAGTAGTAATGCCTTGGGGGTGATGAAAGCAACCAAGTAAAGGGCATATAAAATATATT